AGAGTTGTGGGTGCAAAGACTTGCTTGGAGAGGATGAAATGATGTTTTCATAGAGGTCTCCTGTAAAGTGAGAAGTTGCTTGAAAGCATGAGAGAGACTTGGGCTGCTCTCGGGAGAGACCTTGCCAGCTGGTTCTATTCTCTAGAGTAGCTTTTTTATTTAATTCTTTTTTTCTTTAAGGGTGTTTTGAAAAGCACTCTGAGTCCAGGAACAGCCTGGTCCTATTAAGTTATAGTGAAGCTTTAGCATGATTCTGTCTGAGGAGGGCAAGGAGCCTTTTAGGGCTTTCCCAGCAAAACCTGCTGGTTGCCCCTTGTGATCCTGGATGGAGTGCTTATCCAGCGTTCCTACTTGGGTCTGGGTTTGTAATAATGAGGATGGAAACTGGATGTTGCCTGTTAAATCCGATCCGGATCAGATGAAAAGAATGAAGAGTTGACTGTGTAGAATTTCTAGTGATTTACTGTTTCAGTGGTTCTAACGGTTTGCTTTCTGTCTAGCTGTTGCAGATGAGACCACCAAAGATATTGCCAAGCTGATATCCAAACAAAGGACGAGTGTGAAGGCCCGGAGTGCTGCACCAAGGGCCAATGGTTTCCATTGCTCCAGGAATCAGCAGAGGCTCCCTCGGCGGGGCAGGACTCCTCCTGTCCTGCCAGCAGCGGTGAAGAGCGAGCTGAAGGACCTGCTGAGTTCCTCCCCGGTTCTGCTCTCAGACTTCAATAAGGCCTTCTCCAGGCGCTTTGGCCGGGCATTCAAATACATGCAGTATGGGTTTTTTTCCATGCTTGAAGTGCTCAGGAGTGTGTCTGATATAATTGCAATCGAACAGTCAAGAGCAGGTTCTTTGCTGACCCTGAAGAAGAACTCCTCAACTGAAGAGCAGCAGGAAAAGGCACTGCAGGGTGAGGAACGTGCAGATTTCCAGGTTGACTGGAAATCCATAGTTCTCTTAAGTGCTATGCATGGCCAGTCAGCCCTGTTTCAGGTGCATATTGTTATGTTTTCACCTGCTGTGATAGTCCTGTTTCCTCTTAAGACTTGGCACAGCGGAGCTGTGGGATACTGCAGGATCAGCTGCATGTGCAGCCTATTGCAGGGGCGTCATCTTGATAGCAGAGAGTTTAACTGCAAGATTTCCCCCCATTTTAGATAGCAGGTGAAAGAGAGGTTGTTTAGCCTAGTCAGAACATGAGCTTTCTGAACACCTGTGTGGGACTGGAATTCTTAGTCATTCAAGGCAGTAGGGAACAAAACTACGATTTTCTGAGTGCCTGTTCTACAGGTCACTAGAATCTATCAAATGCTACTTCTGAGGCAGAAAGCGTAGTAGTCTATGACCGAAAGTCACAACTATCATGTTCTACAAAGAAAAACAGAAGAGGTTGCATGTATCCTCAGTGTTCCTGTGATAAATATGAGGGAGAGCAGAAAATCCCATGCAGTGCCTGTCGAATTCCTGACTTTTCTGGGGAAATTTCCTTTCAGCATCAGTTTGTCAATTCAATTGGCATGTTTTCAGGAGCAAGTTTTTGTTTTGAGTTAATACAGGATGGGATATGTCTCTAGTGAATGCTGATGCATGTAATAGCTATGAGTGCTGCAAGAGATCAGGAAAAGGGCACTGATGCCTTCATATTTAATTTTTAGATATTTTTCTCTTTCTGATTGATAAGTAGCACTGCATCAGTTTGCAAAAGAGTATCAACCCAAGTTACTGTCTTTTCTGCAGCCCCTGCAGTTGAGATACCTCCTCCAGAACTCAGCTGTGACACAGAAAGCTTCCATCAGGCTACAGAAAAGAAGTCAGAACCAGAGGAATCACAAGCAGTGGATTGTGGTGATAAACTGAAACAAGTAAGTGGCTGAATGGAGGATCTGTAGCTCTTTCATGTTAGAATCCTGGGGGAAAGACTCTTACTGCTTTCACTTCTTTGGAGATGCATTGTGTTTTGGATGCCCTACCTCTTCCAGAAATGTTAGTACTTGTTTTAGATGAGTCTGGCAGTGTCGAGGTTCATACCAGCCTGCTGTCATGCTCTGTATGGTGTCAAAACCTCAGTCTTTTTCTTTTCTCTGTTCTGTAGATCATCTTAACCTTGGGTAACTTCTGCTGTTCGTGCATGTTTCCTTTGTTAATGAATGTGTTTGTGTTGCTTCTTTCACAACTGATTTATCTGATTAACAGGAATTTTTGTGAGTCTTAGAATTCCTTCCACTCTCTTGCCTTGGTGTGATTCTGTTTTTTTTCTATTGTGTTGGTTGGTTGGTTTTGTTTTCTTTTCTTTATAGTTGGAGAAAGACTTTAAGATAATGCTGTATAAAAAAGGAGCTGGAGAGACAGTAAGCTTGGCCCTCAAGGAAAAAATTCGAACTGTAAGTATTGTTAGTTGAGCACATGCTTCTCTCTGCTGCTCACTGTTGTTTCCCTGGGTGTGGACGTGTGTCCTTGTCTGCATGGACTTGTCTCCATTCTAGTCTAATGTTCTTGGTAGTTATTAAAGCTCTGCAGCAGAGATGGGGTTGACATTGAGTGACATGACAAATAAGCATGCGTCCAGTTGTGATGTCCAGCTTTTACAAATATTAAGTATGTGTATAGTCTAGTGGTCGTGTGTGTGCACGTGTATCCGAGCCTGCAGCTGGCTGCCAGTGGTGTCTCCTTTCCTGTGTAGGTGGTAGCCAAGTATCCTGATGGTTTACTTGTTTCCAAGCTACATCGTGAGTTTGAGGTAAGTCTTACGGCTGGTATTAATATTTCTTTTCACTAAAATTAGAGGTAGATGATTGAGTCAAAGTTGAGAGGAGGAGCTTTCTTTTATTGCTACTTTGGTAATCCAATCTTAAAAATCCATCCCAATGGCCATCTAACCAAGTGATAGTTACTCAGTGAAGTCTCTCTGTCACCGTGGTTCTTTAGACTGGGACATTCCTTGAAGAGGGAAGAGAAACGGGCATACATTTTTTGATCCTGGCTGGGAGATGCTTAGAAGATGTTTGTGGGACTCAGCGTTTTCTCCTTAACATTTTGAGTATCCTCTGAAAGCTCAAAAACAACATTTCTTCTTTTTGGCCTTCTTGGAGGCTTCCCCAATGCTAGTGCTCCTCATAATCCCAAATCAATCAATAGTTAGAGATATGACAACCTATTGTTTGTTGCGAACCTTAATCCTTCTCAGTGTGTGGAATTCGGTTCCGGGCATTGTAAAAAGCATCTTGTTTGATTGTTTTCTGGCACTAGGCACATTTTAAAGAGAATCTCTCTGTGGGGAAGCTTGGCTTTGTGGATATGTTGGAGTTTGTGTGCAGCCTCCATGATGTCCTCCATGTTGAGCGCAGGGAAGATGAGCAAGACTGGCTGGTGTTTGACCTCAAATCCAGGTGCTTCACAGAGGGTAAGATGGCTGCTTACGTTACATTACTGTGCAAGGATCACCATGGTGCTGCTTTGGGGATGAGAAATCAAGAACAGAGATCTACAGGGGGTTTTGAGTTGCTCTCTCTGAAAGAGGAGCAGATACCAAAAGAGCTAGTGCACCAGTTTGAGTTAAGCTGAATAGTGCCTGAAACCTGAAGAATATTAACATGTTTATTTTCTAATGAAAAGTGGTAACTAGCTTCCTCAAGCTACATCAAAATAGTCTTGAGGGTCAGTTGTAATCAGGTCTGATTAAAGCAAGCAACCATGGCTTATATCTTCTTAGTCATGACTACCATGGTGTGTTGGTCTGCCTTTTGGTGCCCGAGATTATTTTCAGAGAAATATTTGCTTGCTTTTTACAAAGTGGAAGTAATGATTTTTTCAGTGAATGCCTTGGCTATGCTGTCTGTTCGAACTGTGGCATGGGGGTTTTCAGCAATAGCTACTGCATTCTCCCACAAGATGGGAATTTGCTTTGTGTTTATTTTCTGGATTCTGCATATGTGCAGGCATTTTTTCGAGCCTTGAGAAACGTTCCCATTGGTTTGATTTTGAAGACTGGAGTTTTAGCCAGTCTGTTGAACTGGATAAGAATTGAATGTGTTGCCGCTTCTGCTTTCGGTGTGTGAAGACAAATTGATTCTTTTTCTCAGTGCTTTGTAAGTGTCTGGAAGAGCTTTAACTGTCTTCTTTACTTAGGCCATCCTCTTGAAAGAAATGTGTGTAAGGGTAGAATAACTTGCTGAGAACACTGTGCTCTGACACTCCCTCAAAATCACCACTGTGCTCTTGGTTAAAGGTTTGGATTAAGTACATCAGCGTAAATGTTTTCTCTGCTGGATTTGTCCTCATTTGTGTTAGCTCTGCTTCTCACACACAAACACGCTTTGCTGCTGCTGGTTTTCAGATGTAGAAGGGAGCAGATCTGGGGCGAGCGGGAGCATCAGGTTTTGACGTAGTGCTCTTAGTTCCACCAGATGAGCGGTCACCATGTGAGGGCTCCTGGTGTTGGTCACTGCCCCCTCCTGCTGACGACGTCTCCCAGGACTCCTTTCCCGGAAAGCCTGAGGATGTGGACCCGAAGCACAGCAACAAGTTCAACGTGGTCACAAAGTCACCAGTGAGTTTGCAAAGCAGCAGCTGATAATTAAGTTGCAAACAAAACAGTGTTGGCTGTTGAGTGTTTTCCACCCAAAAATGTGCATCTTTGGTCTGGAACGCGTAGGTAAGGAAAAGATTCCAGACGTTCTCCCTGACTTTTCTGTTTTGTTTGCTAATGATCTTGGAAGCCTGGCGTTAGGGGTTACATAAACATACCCTTCAGGGATTCATGCAGGCTGCCCCAGAAGTTCTGGTTTGATACAGTGAAGTCTCCAAGGAATTCCCCTATATTGGACAAAATGAGCATATGGGAAGGACAGAAAAGGGGATGCATGGTGCTGGTAACCCCAACCTCAAGTAAGTTTTTTCTTAGGTATTAAAAAAGAAACTGTTCGAAGCTCCTAGTAAGGTAAGTTTCAAAAGATGCTTGTGCAACTAATATTCCTTGTGAAAAATAATCTGTAAAGTTTGCCTTTTTTAAAAAAAGGCTCTAAAGGGAGTAAAGCTTGCTGGAGTGTGCCAGTTAGGCTATATAATGTAGACATTGATTGGATGGCCGTGAGGAAAAGGGAAGGAGGAGTTCCCTATGCTGTTAAAAGGTATTCAAGTATCCCATCGCAAGAGGCAAATGATGGAAGCGTTGGAATGGACAACTGAGGGGAAAAGGCTGAGTCAAAGATGCTCAAAGGACCCAGAGAAAGGGACTTGGAAGAAATCCATGAAAAAAAATCTTGCTGTTTCCCAGGCAAGAATTTCCTCAGTTTTTTTTGTAATGCAAAACATGAACTTATTTTTTTTTTTAATTCAGTGTTACTCAAAATATTTTGCGCACACACACATGAAAAATACTCAGGGGCTTTAGTCGTTGCTCAGGCTTGGAGAAGGAGAGACTGTTATCTGCTTGAAACACTGTGTGAAATAGCCGCCACTGTGAGGAGCCTTATTTGCAGCTGAAGTTTAGTGGTATGTGTGCTGGAAGGCAGATTTTGCATACATTCTTTAATGTATAATGCAGCGGTAACTTGTAGTATGTTCGCTCTGGGCAAAAATTAAATCATTTTGACTTCTGATCTTTGGAGGAGTGCTGTTCACTGGCACGAAAGTAAGCTCTTGAGGCAGTGAAAGTAGCTAAGGTACTACCAAGGTTCTCCTCTACACTAGTTTAACCTTTTCAATATAAAACAGTTAAAGAACAGCACAAAAAAATGTAAACTGTGCTAGCTGGCTTGTATGGGCAGCTTTGTGCAGGGTGAGAACAGGATTTGCAGATCTTGTTTGGTTTTGGTCCTAGAAAATATCTCTAATGATAGCCATTTGCTGAGTGTGAAAACAAGATGTTTTTGTTGCTTTTGAATCACTTTCAAATAGTGTTTTGCAGTTGCAATCATACATACTTTCATGGTCACAGATCTTATAAATAGCATCTTTTGAGTAAAATGCAACAGAAATAGAAATTTTTTTGAACAATAGCAGTTCAACTCAAAACATATTGTGTCTAAATTTGGAGCATGATTTTGATTCCTTCTCCTTTATTCCCTGCAGGGGTTATGAGCAAGGTGTTTTTATTCCACCACACTCTTTTCCTGGAGGGAGGGAAAGGGGAAGAAAGAGTAGGTGAAAATGAACACTCTTATCACAAGGAAGGTTTTAAATTGCACATTGCAAAGGTTTACATAACACAAGGTTTTTTGCACGTTTTGGTGAAATTCTGAGATACTCAGTACCTCACAAGACCCTGGAAAGGGAGAACTAATATTTTTACCTTAACAGACCACTCATGCGCCTGGCAAAACATCCGAGTGCCACTTTTCTCTTATCCCTTTCTAGCCCCGAGCTTTGGAGTGTTCCCTGCTAGCCGTGGAGGTGACAACTTCAGAAATCCCCCCAGATGCTGTTCAAAGTGAGAGCCTTTGTCGCTTGCCACCTCTGGAGAGAAGCTGCTTGGTGGGAGTCTTTGTGGAGTTCATCATCTCTCCTAGCCAGTTCTACATCCAGGTCTGCAGCAGGGAGACATCTGATAAGCTGCAAGATCTGATGATTGAGATGAGGTGCGAACACTCTGTGTGGGTTTGGTGCTGCTGCCTGTCCCGTGTGTGCATGTGCTGAGAGGACGGGGCACCTAACCATGAGTTATGGTCACTGCTGGCTTGATAACTTGACAGAGATGTGTGCAGTGTACTCCTACATGCGTGCAGAACGCTTTCTTATTCCATTTAACTAGCAAAGCATTCCTTTGTCACGCCTGTATTTGGCCGCAGAACCGTGTCGGTGACCCTGGCAGGTGCCGTCATATGTTTGGGATTCGATTCCACCGCAACAGTGCTACAATTGCTTCTGAATTCTGTGCTAAAGCAGATGTTTGATGCTCATAGGGCACATTAAGCGTGGTTGCAGACTCTGCAGACAAGTACTGTGGATGTAACTCATCTTAATATGAGTTAAGAAACTCGTGAAGCATCCAAGAGAGTGGTTCCAGGGCATTCATGTTTTGTTTTGCAGAAGGAATTGAAAAACAAATGGCAGAGACTGAAAACTAATCTGGTCCTGAGCTCTGAACCTGAATGACTGTTTTAACAGCTGTTCTTGTCTTGTTAATTCCCTTACCGTTGACCCCCAAGAGGAACATTCAAATGTTAATGTTTAGACTTGCATTTCTTTGTCATTTCGGTATATATTCACCAGAGTTTTGTCTCCCGTATGTTTCCCTGCATGGACTTTCCGACCACTTGCATTGACTTTTTTTAAGGCTGAATGCCTGAAAATTCATGTAATGGGTCCTTTAAGCAATCAGGGTGTTTCTGGAAATCCTGCGTGTTTCTTGCTGCCCTTTTCCTGCCTCCTACCAAGCTCAGGCCTTCCCTGTGGTGTTTTGCAGACGCTGTTACTCAAATAAAATGATTTCTGATCGTTACGTCATGCCCGAGTCCTCGGTGCAGCCTGGGCAGCTTTGCTGTGTCATGATATCCGAGGACAAATGGTGGTACCGGGTTATCGTCCACCGTGTGCTCAGTGAGCATGACGTGGAGGTTTTCTATGCGGATTTTGGAAACCTGGGCACTGTTCCAAGGTCTTGCCTGAGATTCCTCAAGTAAGTAACACAGGGGTGACCTTGGGCTAAATCTTTCTGCATTTCTGCCTTTATTCCTCGGCTTTGCCTCTTGTTACTTTCAGTCATTTTGGGGCACGTGTCTGATCTTTCTTCATGGGTTTCGTGACCCTGTGTAAACATCCTTGTGACTGGGTGTCAGTCTGAGCATTTGCAGCAACGTTCTGCTTTGCGGCCCAGTGTTTTTGCTCTCTTTTGCCTCTCTTCGTGCATGGCTGTTGGCTTTCCTTGGCTCAACAGTCGTTTCTCTCAGTCTGTAACTTGGTCATCATAAGAGATTAGGCTTTGGGTAAAGGAAAGCATAAGGGACTGGATACAGCTGTTTTCTTCTGCCGTGCCCTTTGTATCTCTGCATATAAAGTGTGTTCCAAAGCAGTTTATCAATTTTATTCATAAGTGCAAAATCCCCTTAAGAGCAAAGGTAGCTGCTGGATTTTAAAACCCAGAAGAGGAGGAAGTTGAAGCTCTTGCAGCTGTTCTCACTTGGTGGTTTGCAGTGATGGTGATGCCTTTGTTTCCCATTTTAGGTGGTGCTACTTGAAGCTCCCTGCTCAGGCAATCCCGTGTTCCTTGGCATGGGTGAAACCTGTGGAGGTTGGTGTTCAGGTTTGCCTTTGTTTACTGGCATTTGTGGAACTGCCAAGTGGTATTTGGCTTTCTGTCTTGATACTGGCAAGCATTTAGATCAGTGTCGGTGTCACTCATTTGTAGCAGAATCCCTCCCATGTTTAGCAGAATGTGACTGAGTGTATCTGTCTCTTACACTGTGGAAAGCTGATTGCTTGTTATCTTCATTAGGTTCAGAGTATTCTTGCTTACCTGGCTTTAGAAACAAATGGCTATCGTTAAGGAAATGAGTTGTTTCTTTCCCAGTAGCTCCCCATGGTCCTTCTGAAGCTTTGGTAGCTCCAGCACGCGTTCCTCTGGTTTTAACGTTTCCTCTATGACTGTGCTTCAAGTCAGTTACTTTTAGATTTACTCTGGTGCAGTCAGTGTAGCTAAAGAGTTACAGAGCTTGGCCTGTGCTGGGAAATCTTTTGTTCAAAAAGCCTGAGAACACAGACTTGAAAGGCAAGCATGCAAGCAGACTTGCTACAAGTAATAACTGAAGTCCTTCTCAGTTCTTTCCGATGTTTTTAGGGGATTAACAATTCCCATTTTTCTTTGCTCTGAGGCTTAGCAGCATCTTTAAAAGCTTGTGAGACTTTGCAAGTTTTGTAATCACGTGATTCCCCAAACTGTGACTCTTTAAAGCCCAGTATTTTAGAGAGCAAGTGCCATTGTGCCACGTTCGGAAATAGGTAATGAAAGGAATCCCCGGTGATAAGTTGCATTGCAAACTTTTTGGTCAGTGTTGGGAAACTTGTCTGACTCTTCTGTTACTGCCCTAAGCCTGACTTAGCCTAATTGCCTTTTTGACAAGTGCACACAGGGGAAGGTTTCGGGCAATTGTTGCTGGCTTGTTCAGAGTAACTTCTCACCCTTGTGTTTCCTGGAGGGTACGTGGACTGATGCAGCAACCCTCCAATTCCGGAGGCTGTGTGGCTCGAAGCTGCTTGTGGGAATCGTGGATGAATATGTGGATGACATTTTGCATCTCTTCCTGTGTGACACATCCTCTGAGGGAGATATCTACTTCCACAATGTCTTGAAGAGTGAAGGACATGCAGAGATCTGCAGAGAAAACATCCCTTCCCAGGTCAGGAGAGGCAGCAAAAGGGTGACTTGGGTATCTGTAAGGGGCCACTCTTTTCTTTGAAGCAAGCAGCTCTGCGATGAGCAAAACTGGGAACCTGTAACTGAGCATCTTGTGTCTGCATCCCATAGTGTCTTAATGAATTATAATTAGAGTTGGAAAACTCTTTTAAGTTGATGAGTTTGCAGATTCATCTGGAATCTCTTTATGTCATTTATAAATAATGCAGAACTATAGAACAGCCGCAGATGTTGTGAGCATCAGGCCAAACTGAGATGTTAAGAGACATGTTAGATTCTTGTCCACCCATTGCCAATGTCAGCTAGTTTTGCCTGTTTTAATTTGAGGCTCCTGATTCGTCCAAACATCTTAGTTGCTTAATGACTCTGGTCCATCTCTGACTTTATTTGAATGTCTCAGCTCAGTTTGAGTAAGAACTGTATGGATAATGAGAACTATGAGAAAGATACTGCCATGGTTTTATAACTCGTCAGAAACACAGGCTTTACAGCCCAGAGTGCTTGTCTCTGTTTTAATCAGCATTTTGCAAAATGAGTGTTTTAGCAGGATTATATCCTCTGATTGTGCTTTGTGTGGGAATATCCAGTTTTGTAGGGAGGGGTACATTGCTGAATCATAGAATAGAATCATTGAATGCTCAAGGTTGGAAGGGACCTCTAGAGGTCATCTAGTCCAACCCCCCTGCACACACAGGGTCACCTAGAGCACGTGGCACAGGACTGGGTCCAAGCGGGTTTTGAAGATCTCCAGAGAAGGAGACTCCACAACCTCTCTGGGCAGCCTGTTCCAGTGCTCTGTCACCCTCACTGTCAAGAAATATTTCCTTAAGTTCCTGTGGAACTTTTGGTGCTTCAGTTTGTGGCCATTACATCTAGTTCTGTCAGTGGCCACCACTGAAAAGAGACCAGCCCCATCCTCCTCACTGCCTCCCTTGAGGTCCTTATAGATACTGCCCAGGTCCCCTCTCAGCCTTCTCTTCTCCAGGCTGAACAGGCCCAGCTCCCTCAGCCTCTCCTCATAGGGCAGATGTCCCTGAATAATTTCGTTGTTGAAGGGAAGCAAATTGATCTTTGCAGTAATACAATTTCAGTGAGAATTTGGAGCTACCTTGAGGGTGGTATGCTGCTGCTTAAAATGCTTAGAAAATTGCTAATTTTTTTTCTTTTATGGTTATTTTAAAATGTCTTATTGATTTAACTGTTCTGTGATTATTTATTTATTTTTCTTGTTGATTTATTTTATTCGTTACTAGGGGTTCCAGGAACTAAATCCATTGGCCTTGTACGTCCAGCCCGGTGCAAAGCAGGAGAATGCTGATGTGGTGGAGCCTGACCTTCCCTTGCAGCAGCAACCTCTAGGTGCAAAGAAGGGAATAGCAAGTTCAAGACTCGATGAGGGTGAACTGTGTGACCAGGTGGGCATTTGGCTGTGCTGTAGCTGTGGTCCAGTGAAATCAGCACCAAGTTTGGTGTCATACATGTTATTCTAGTTCCTTGCAGTGGAGGGTGTTTATTTATTTATTTTACTGTTATTATTTTTAACAATGACAAGCAGGACTGTAATATAAAAACGATTACAGGAGGAACATGGATACCTCTCCAGATGCTTGACCTCAGATCCTTTTACCCTCTGTCAGCTCACTGAATTCCTCTGGCCTCAATCTGTCAGCATATCTTGACAGCTCTCATATGCACTTTCATTTTTCAGGGAGAATGGACTCTCTTAGGAACCCAGAGCAGTGCCTGATTCTTGTGATCACCTTGACTTAACACATTTCCCTTTTGCACCTTCTGTAGCTGGAAAGTGGTGCATCTTTCCTACATTCCCATTTGGCAAAGGCAGCATAATAATTAAGGGTGCCATTCCAGCATCAGAAATAAAACAGAGCTTTGGATATTTTTTGCATTAGGGATCTTGCTGATGAGCACAGTTAAGCTGGGAGTAAAACACAGGTCTTGAGTCCAACCTAATGTGCTGCCATTAGAAACACCAGCAATAATTCTTCACCAGTGTGTTCTCTGCTTTCCTGTACTACTTGTAGCGTTTTCATGGCACTCATTAAAACAGAGGCCCAAGCACCTTTCAGGAAGGTATCAGTTGTTGAAGTGTGCAGCAGTGTCTCTTGCAGGAGTGTTTCCCCTTGTCTTTTTTCAGAGCATAAAACTGAACTTAGCACAAAAGCTAGTGGGATGTTAGGAATTCTTCAAGATCTCATTTTGTCTAGGTTTTGTTTTAGCAGTCTGAATTTTTGTGATAGAGAATCAAACATAAGCTGTTTATCTTGGGTATTAATGGCCCCGTCCTCCTGAAGATTAACATATCACCTGAACTGAAGGTCTTGAATCAACATCTTAGTTTTTGTATTGGGAAGAAATTGATGTGTAATCTTGCACTTAAGTGTGTGACCAAGACTTTACAAATCTTGGTTTGATTCTTGGCCTTCTGATAGGTGATTCAGATGACCTTAGAGGGATCATTTAATTTTCCTAAGCCTTGGTTACTCAACTGTAAAAAGAAGAGAATAATACACCTTGTGTCTTAAAACTATTTTTTTGTAGGAAGGGACTTTTCACATTAATATATGTATATATTGCCTTAAAAAATGAGATGCCCATATTCCTGGAACCTGTGGATGTAATATTTGAAGTGGAATGTGATTCAATGCTTTCAAGTGTCCCAAATTATATTTCAGTACCTAGGCTGTTGCAGCTAATTGCTTTGCTGACTACAGTGAGTATTTAATGGGTGTTCATTGATTAATTTGGTATTAAAAATATACCAGAGTACCATAAATACTGGTAAATGAAAGTGAGGACCAGGAGGTTATAAAATCTAAGAAATGAAGCTTAGCTTATTGGCAAAAAGAAGCAACCTTCATGAGATGTCCGAGTCAAACGTTTTATATCTAAGCTGGAATTTCTTACCTGGAGGCAAAGTTGCAGCGGTTCTGAGCATGGATCTGCAGTGGTTTATCTTTGTGACTAACTCTAGCAAACTGGCAGAGCCACTTTTGTGGCACAGAGGAGAGGAAACTTATTTAGAGCGTGGAAGTCCAGGTGTGGTAGGTAGACTTCTAGTCTGCCCTTCAGTTAAATGGCTCTGAACTTGTCCCTTACTCCAGAGATTTACTAAGTTTCTTTTTCCTTGGGCAAACTTTCCAGGATGAGGCAAGCCTTTCTCTAGGGATGCCATACCTAGAGCCGGTCTACATGGCCTCGGATTTCTGGGACAAGAACAAGCTCCCTCTGCAAACTGTTGAGAAGGACACCCGTGTCAGTGGTGGCACCACGGGGTTGGATGCTGAGGCATTTTTCATCCAGTCCGTCAGTGATGAAGGAAAAAGAGAGAAGCAGCAAGAGCCACTGCAACAGGTTAGGTTTGAGTAATGCCCTTGGAGAAATTATCCTGGAGTTTTAAACATCGTTTGCTTGAGCTTCTCTTGACTTCGTACTTTGATTTAATGGAAAGGTCTGGGAAGTCTGATTCCAAATGGTTTGAACTGAAATGTGTCTAATGTGACACTTGCTATTGCTGAACTAGCATGTCCTGGTAGCTGTTCTTAAGCAGTGGGGAAACTCTGTGTTGCCAAATTTAATTTCCCTCATCAGGGTTAACAACTTGTTACCTTTTTTGCCCACTCTCCTTAACTATAGGATGGTTGGGCATTCTGCTAGATGGGGGTGCTTCCACATGGTGAAGTCTTGCAGCCTTTTTTTTCTGAAGGCTGCAATAACAGTGAAATTCAACATTTGGAAAATGAAATTTTATTCACTAGATATAAGTTTTACTGTGGAGGTAAGAAGTTAGTGACAGCTAGTTTCTCGTTGAGATTATTTTGATTCCTTCTGCTTTTTGTCTTCTCCAGATTGCCAGAGCTTCTCCAAAAAGATATGTTACAATGTTTCTTAGGAGAAGAGGGAATTCCTCTCTCCTGTCAGTTAATCTGTCTGGGTGAGGTCTCACTGCTCTATAATCTGCGCTCTAGTAGATTGGCTACAGTGCCTTCCACTTCTACCCTCATCAGCTGAGCCTTTTCTTGCTTTGTGAATCTCCTTAGGAATGGCACTTTTCAGTTGACAGAGAGGTGTGGGATGACATGTGGCCTCTTCTGGATCAGGTAGATGTCCCGAAAACAACAGATAAAGAACCTGAATTTGCAAAGGAGCATACAAATGAAAACACCCCAGAGTTTATGGCAATGGTTAAGGTAAGGACATTTTTTTCTTGGCTAATGCTGTTGAGACCTCTGTTTTACTCAAAAAGGGGGACGAACCTCTCAAAAAGGGGGATGAAACAACCACTGAGCTGAATATTTTTGGTGCTGTTGATAGTATGCTGGTGCATGTTCCACCACCGCTACTCCACAAGGTATTGCAGAAACAAGTGATGGTTTCAGCACTTCTTACATCAAATCTGACCCTCACCCCCTTCTTTTCCTCCATGCAATGGACTGGAGGCAGCTACTTGTAACGCGGCAGCGCGGGACTGCTGGGGCTAGGGCAGGGAGTTGCAGAGCAACGTGCAGAGCGTGTGCGCAAAGCTGTGGATGGTTAGAGCTCCTTACGTGTCCATGCATTGCGTTCGTAGAGACAAAGCACTTCCAGAAGGATGAGGGGAAGGGTGACTTTGAAATAGGCTGGGGCAGACCCAGAAAAAATGGTGGGTCTAGGGCATGTTGCCTGGAGGGGGTGGAGAGGAAGCAGGCTAAGAAGAGTGATCTGAAAGAAGAGGAATTACGTGACAGCAGGTGTGAGGAGCGAGGAAGAGGAGATGGAGGCAGATGGGTAGCTTGCCAGGGGTGCCTCAAACACTCCCCTGCAAACGTTAAGCCCTGTGGGTTTAGAAGCACAGGAATTCCTAACATCTTTAGAAGTGACAAGCCTTTCTGTTAAGGAAAGCCCTGTGGTATGTGAGAGGAGTGGGGGAATCCTGCTTGTGGCCACTGGGGAGAAAGTGCTCCACCCAGCTAGCTACTGAGACAGGAGGGTTTCCTTTCTCTGCTACCCGCTCATCTTTTGGCCTGAGTGGATCTTTGTAGCACCTGAATCTACAAGCAGCGTCACAGGATGGTGTTGGTGTCCCCCTAAATGCATTGGGATGAAGAGCAGATGTTGCCTGACATGTTTCCTGCCCTTCGCAGTACTCTCTAGGGTATCCTCTCTCATTTGTTCCTTCTCTAAATTGAACAGCCTCTGTCTTTTTTGAATTATTTCCATCCCAGCTTTTTCCGATGCTCGCAGAGGTTTTCACTGCCCACCCTTGCTTCCTCTCCGTTCCTGTTTTGCCCTCAAGGGGCAGGGACGAAACTGTCCCCCAGGTAGGACAGCATGGGTGGCAAGAGAGGAGACTTATTGTCTGTCAGCTCTGTTTGCTCTTGTCCTAACACTCTTTTTCTCTTTTACTGTGTGTTAGGCAGAGGGTTTCTGTAGGCTGGTGGTGTCAAGGTGAGCAGCCAGTTAATTGGACTGTGACACCTCAGTCACTCAAATTATTCTGTCTTGGTGTCTTGTCAGCACCGAAGTTCTGCCCAGCCATCTCGTCCCTGCTTCAGGAGCTCCTCATGGTCCTAGTGCTGTGCCCAGGTTAAATTACTTGAATTGACTTCTGAAAAAACTGAAGTGTTTTATTCTGGGCTCGTTAGTGCTCTGAGCACTCTCACCGCTCAGCAGTGAGAGGGGTGCATGCGGACAGCGATTCCCCCTCTCCTAAAAATGGGAGGTTTCTCTCTCCCTTGGCAACAGAAAAAGCCTAGAAGCAGCCACAGAGTTTTTGGCCAGCTGTGGTTGGACCAAGTGAATTGCACAGCTGGTGACCTGTTGTCATTTCCCTGTTTCTCCCCTCCATGCTGAATTAATAAATACATGCATGGCCTAGACATGGGTGCTCATCTCTGAAACTGAAGTTTAATTTGTTTTCTTAATCAAAAGCGTAGAGGGACTTCCTCAGACCTGCAGAAACTCCCTCCGTCGCTGCCGTTGCTCGCTCTGTGTGGGGCTGCTGAGAGACGAGCCAGCTGCTAGTGCTTTGCTAAGAGATGGCACCTTGTAATAACCTGTCAGCCTTTCAGCTTGCTCTGCAGGAAGAGCTGCCCTTTGGCAAGGTTGTGAGTAGCTGGTATTTAAAAAAAAAAAAAAAAAATACAGTTGCTGACATTCCGGTCTTGCTTGGACTCTGAAAGATAACAAAGATCAGAGCAGCTAATGAACTGAGTATGCACTAATCACATGTCTTCTGAGTGTTTTTTATATACATTTGCAGACACCACATTCTCTTGGAGAGTCCTCCAAGTCTGCTGTCTTATCCAAGTCACTGGAAGACTTTTACATCTCCCTCATATACGCCAGCCAGCCAGCAGAAACAAGCCAAGAAGACCCTGATCAGACAGAAAGATGTTCTAACAAGGCCCGACTTTTTGAAGCTGTACCTGCCTCTGTTTTGCTTCTGGCAACACCATTTATCTTGGACCAGTGTAAGAGTATGGATAGATTTGTTAGTAGAGTTGAACACGGAGGAAAGCTGGGCAGTCTGCTCTTGTGTTAGTGGTCTGGCAGTCAGTGTTGGCTGCTTTGCTAGAACAGATGGAAAAGTTGGGGTTTCTGTGGGGTGGAGATGCAGCAAAATGGATTTCTAAATGTCTAACAGGGACAATGAATAGGGAGTTATTTCTCTCTGATTTTTTTTTCAGCCTTTTCCAGACTTTCTGCTATTTTCCTGCTGCTATTTCTCATGCAGGTGTCTGTCTCTCCCTCTTAGCATGTGTTCACTTCACTCTGAGAATCTCTGAGCAAGAAAAGTTTTTTCTTTTGTCTCTATTTCTTTGGTTTTTAACCTAATAAGACCACCCGAGTGAGTCTTTATCTTTCCATTGTCTAAATCATGAATGAATTTACAAGATATTGGGAAAATTGCCCAGTTTACAAGCCATATTAAGTGACTTGCCCATAGTAGTGCCGATGTTAGTGCCTTGGAACAGAGTGGTCTTCTGTCTCTGAAAGGGAGGCTCAGTCCTCAGGATAGAGTGACCTATCTCACACCCACTTTACCTTTTTTGAGGAAATGGGAGTGAGCATTAGGAGGCGAGCGAGAGAGGCTCCTGGATTACCCTGTGCCAGCGTTGGCTGGGTAGGTTAGTCCTCATACACCGCTTGGAAAGGTCCAGGCAAAAGCGATTTATTTATTTGGTCTAAACTAACACTATTGGAGCTGCCCTGTAGATACCATCTTGCTTGTTTTCTTCCTCATGCAGATAAAGTGAAGAACAAAGAGCTCCCTGAGACGGATGCAGTCGTCCTTGGCACTGCCAGTAGACTGGCTGACCAGGAGGCCCATCAGAAGCTCTATGTTCCTCCTACCGCACCCTCTGCAACACTGGGAGCTGCTGCACGCCTGGCTGCTTCCAGTGGTCTCTTCCAGTGGTTTCCAAGCCTGAGAAAGGAGGCGTGAAGAGAGGGAAGAAGTTGTAGCTAAAGCAGCTGCCGAGGAAGGAACGTTGTCTGGAGCAGCAAGGGCTCTCTGCCCTGTTTCTTCCTTGGTCCAGAAGCATTTCATCCCTGGATCTTGGCATCTGGCATCTTTGCTGATATGCCCAATATATGTGTTAAATGTAACATTCACTTTTAGGAAAATAGGCTATGTTCTTGTTGTACTGCTGTTGTACTGATTTATTCCTCTTTAATGTTTTGAGAGCACATCTGAGAGTCATATTTTGTTGCACTCTCTAAGGCTGAGAGAGAAAAACTCTTAAACACTCTGAAGTGCAGCTTTGACTGTGACTGGGGGTAGGGGTGCGTAGTCAGGACTTCTCTCAGTTATATCCTAGTTTAGGTCTCCACCTTTCTGAATTCTGCTAATCTGAAGGAGAAAAAAAAGGAATTACCTACTTATCTACCCCAAGAAAAAGACACTTAGATTTGTTGATGAGTTAGGATGCAGTACCTATGAAGCCCCAGGAATCCCATTTTACATGTTCTGAAGCTCAGTGTGTTGACCGTGTTCTGCCATGACTGCTTTCAGACAGACGTATGAAACAATGACCTTTCCATGGTTTTCAATAACTTCAGCAGAGAGCAAGCGTAATTTAGCTTGTGTCCCGCAGGAGTGGTGTTTTGCATGTGATTCATAGGCATGGAGAGAGATGCCGAGTCTTCCCGGCCTCCAAAAATTGCATGTAATGTAGTTCTGGTGCCAAGGCTGCTCTCAGCCCGGGACTGTGTGCTATGCTGCAAGGTGGTTAACTGCACTTGCTCCAAGCATGGCTGCAGTGCTGGTGTTCTATAAGGAGAGTATTTGCTGAAGGCCACAGAGAGAAAAATGAGTTTCATGACCCTTTTTGGGGTGATCAAGGGTCAGGAATTACTCTTTTAGGAAGCAGCTGGAGCAGGGTGTTGCAGGGGAGAGGTGCTGTGTGATAGACCTGTTGATGGTGCTTTATATGGAATAGGTAAATTGATGGAACAGATGACTTGAGCTTAACTAGAAATGCTGTTCTGAAAGAGGATTTTCTTCTTCGTGCAAGGTGCAAAAGCATTATTTATGCAGTTCCCTCTTGGTGTTGGGTTTATTAATGCAGAATAAAGCTGTGAAAATGTAAGCGTGATGGTTTTGAATGCTGGGAATGGAGGTGGTTTGCTTGGTGCCTACCCTGTGTTCCCCTGGGCGTCTGGGTGAGCCCCAAGCATGCCCAAAGTGTGATACTGCTTCATTGTGAACCACGCAGAAAAGCTCAAAACAGGGTTTAATACTTACATTAGAATGGATAACAGACTAGCATAAAAGTTGTAAAAGCTTGGGGTGAGAGGTCCAAGAGTTTAGGAGGAAAGATCAGCAGAGCTCAGCAGAGTCAGGGCTCAGGGAGTTGCCACAAGCTTGTTTGAATGTCACTGTGGACCACCTGCATGCGTGCAATGGGTAGGAAAGAGAGGCGTTTTGTGTCCTTCTGGACTCTGAAATAAGGGGCAGGGGCTCCTTGTTCTCTAAGTAAGGCAGGCCCTGCTGGCTGGTTTCCAGGCGGCTGAGATCCGGGCAGACGGGATGCAGGCAGGAGGTGCCGTCTTCCACATGCTCAGTGGCTCCGCCGGGCTCCGGTGAGGGCGCTCCCTGCAGAAGAAGGATGTTTCGTGTCTCTTCCTCTCTGGAAAGCTGGCTTTTGTGGCCATTGCTACCCATAGGGGGAGAATGGCATCAGGTAAGGAAGGATGGGAATGCTGAGCTGAGCAAATGGGTCTGAGTGACGGTGGCTTTTGGTGCTGCCCCAAGGAGAGGAGGAGGGGAGTATCCTGGGCATAACCATCCTCTTGCTGGGGTTCATCTTGAGCTAATAGGACACAGGACCTAAATAACCTCCAGCAGTAACTTCTCACTTATAGCCCCTTGGTATGATGCCCAGTTCTGGCCTCAGTGCTGGTGTGGGGGGTGGGTTGTGGAGCCAGGCTAGTGAGGGAGGACATGAGGCAGGAGAAAAGTAGGGCTCTTGCAGATATTTCAATGCCCCTGATTCCTCCCATCTTCTCATTCGTGGCCCTGCGCCCTCATTGTGTGGCTTGGCTCCATGGCTGCAGTCAGCACAGATCTGGTCTTGGGGACCTGGCTGACCTAGACCTTATTGTCCCAGGTGCCCGCATCCTTCTCCTGCCTCATGTCCTGACTACTGGACCAACCCAACAGTTGATGGCAGCTGCCACCATGCTGGGTCTGGGGACCTGAGCGGGCGGGAGAGGGTGAGGCAGGGCAGTAGTAGGGGCCCCATGTGTCCTTGCTGCCCAGCGTGTGGGAGGGCTGACATCAGCATCATGAGGCGGCGCTTGGGAGACGCCCGTGCTGGGAATGTGCTGCTCCAGCGCCTTTTCTGCTTGCTTGCGGAAATGGTTAATTAGCGTTGGGGGCCAGATGGCTGCAAGCTGCTGCTGCCGGGGGGCTGGGGGAGGCCATGGGCCGCTGCGAGCGTCAGCCCGTGAGCGCAGCGTCAGCGAAGCCCTGTGACGTGCCCCTCGCTACAAAGTGGCGTCTGAGCCCGGTTCTCCTCATGGCTCTGTTCCTTGCTCCTGTCTGTGAGATCTCAGGGGCTTCCAGCTCCACTTGGCACCCGGGACCTTTTTTCTGAGGAACTGATAGACTAAAAATGCAGCTGTCTGCGTGGCTCGGAGGGCGAGGGGTGAGGTGTCGGGGGAGAGATGCAGCCCAGAGGTGGCTGCTGGCCCTTGATGCCGTCTGCCCCCACTCGCCTCCCTCTCCTTTGCTCTGGCCCCACCAGGCTTCTCTGATGCTCCTAAAGGGCAGGAGGTACTTTTCCAGGGGGTTTTGGCCATTTGCATGTTGTCTGCCAGCAGGGACTAGTTTTTGCCACATGACCAAACCCTTCCTCCTTGCATGATTTTCCTCTGTGGTCTGTCCTGTACCCAGGAGTTAGGAGGTGAGCGCCCCCTTCTGTGACTGATTTTCTCCCCTCCTCCTGGTACAGCTTGGATCACGTTTCTCATCCCTAGCAGCTCTCTGTTTGTACATCCCTTGCTCGAGAGGGTGCAGAAAGAGGAAAATGCCTCGGGGAGCAGAGTGCTATGCTGCCTGTGTGCCCAGGTCACCGAGCCTGTATCCTGGCAGCTGCACGTGTGGGGGCTTCTGCTGGGGGTGCCATAGGGAAAGGGGGCGGCTGGGGCTGGCACTGGAGTCTCTGGCATCGCTGCCTGGCTACTATGATGCTTGTATCTTGTTTGGTCAGGGTTTTGTTTTTTTTTTTTGGTCTAAAAAACTCTAAGCCAATCATTTTGGAAGCCAAAGCCTTTATCTTTGTGTGTTGCAAACACTTGCGTTTCAGATGGAAATTGAGTCTTTTCCCCTTTTGGGAAGGGGTAAAACGGCATTCAAGCCTGACCGGGATTGCTGCATGTGACCCGCAAGTAACTGCTTTTCTTTCCTCTGACCTGGAAGGATTTCTTTTTCCATTTGGCAGGAAAAAGAGGAAAAAAAAAAAAAAAAAAGAAAAAAAGAGAAAGCACATTGTCAGTACAGGTCACTGCAAGCAGGGTCTTGAGCTGCAGCTATCGTTTTAACTCAAGCACTCTGCTAAAAAATAAAAATATCGACTCTCGCAGCTCCCAAGCATATGCAGTGGTCACTGGAGTGGGCCTTTTTCTCTTTTAATTGTTTTTTCAGTAGAAAGCCCTGGTTTGCCCTGCCTGCGCTGAGCTGGGAGCTAACAGCTGCCGGGGCAGGAGCTCAGTTGAGTGCCTGTGGCAGCCCCTGCACAGAGAGGACAACAGGCCTGGGCCCCTTCAGGGAGCAGCCCGTGGCCTTGGTGTGTCCCAGGAAGGTCCCTGTGGATCTGGCCACCTTCCCCCTGCACTGGGGCTCACCTTGGAGCAGGGCTGGACGTTTTGGGCAGGATGGTGAGCGTTGGGTGGGATGGGTGCCCGTGTGGGGCTAAGCTGCTCGCTACAATGTGAAGGCTTCGCTGCTTCCTCCTGCTTCTCCGGTCTCCCCTTTTTCTCCCGTCTTTGTCTCCCCTGTCTTCTCCCGCTACAGCAGCTCCCACAGGACCAGACTGGGATCCCAGTGGTATCTGGGCGCACCAGGGCGCAGGAAACCCAGGCACCTGGGAAGGGGCTGCAGCATGGTGCATCCGCAATCCTCCCCGGGTGCGTCTTGGCGCAGGTGCGAGTTGCTGGCCAGGCTTCTTGCTCGCAGCGTTTCGCTGCGTGCGTCTCCCCTCACGGCCCTCCCCGCTGCCGCAGCCGAGATGGCTCTTTTCTGCTTCAGGTCTTTACAGGCTGGACCTGATTGCAGAGGGGTTGCGATCTCACTTGTGCTTTTAATCCCACGGCTGTCAAGCTCCATTAAGAGGCTGGGCATCATCTGGCTACCTCTGGGGCTGGACTCCCCCTCGCCCAGCCTGAAATGAGGACAAGCCTGGGCGCTGCCAACGCAGGCATGGGCCGCAGCAGTGGGAGTGCTTAAAGAGACATCGTGGCCACAGCCCCTGAGCACTTCCCTGGATGCCCAGGACAACATCGCCCCCCTTTTCCTGTTCTGTCGTTGGCGGAGGCTCATGCCGTCTGACTGCAGCTCCCCAGGGGCATGTTTCCTAGCCCCGCTAAGTGAATGGAGCTGCTATGCCCGCAGCAGTGCATGGGGCTCTGCCGAGGCCACTGGGGCTTGGCAGATGTCACGCGTGCACTCTGGAGCGGAACGATGGCATGCTCGAGGAGGCGTGACTCCCTCCTAACTGTGGTAACCGGGCTCCTCTTGTCTCCTGTCAGCCGGAAGACGGACGCAGGGGGGTCGCTGCGGCCGAGGCGCAAGGTCGTTCCTGTGGGCTGGTGCCCTCCCATGCCACTTGGCATCCTCATCTTGAGCACACCAGGGCTGCAAAGCCCCCTTGTGGAGCAGGCTGAGCCCGGCCCTGGGAGATATGCTGCACCACCATCAGGCGATTCCCTCCCTCCTGCAGCTGCCCTGGCCTCTGCTAAAAACGAAAATAGGGAGT